AAACTCTGGACAAATATACTAACGTGGGGAGGCGGCCTGTGTGAGTGATGCGAGTGTGATGTGAAATGAGGAGTGCTGAACGGAGAATGGAATAACAAAAGTTTTCTGTAATGTTTTAATGTGATCATGGAATAATTATTTTTTTGTCAACAGCATACGGTGTAAGTACTAGAGATTCAAAGATAACAAGCTTTATTGAACAGGTGTAAAAGTGAGAGTACTCTGGGATGAGTACTCTGAGAAAAGTACTCTGCGGAAAGTACTCTGAGATGAAATACCTTGCTGAAGATATTGGGAGTCCCTCCCTCTGCTGTTTGTCCTGACAGTGATTCGGTCCAACCGCAGTGAGCTGTCGTTGGTTGAAGGACAACTTTGGTTTGTAAACTCACATTTAGGGGAGTATAAAATTAGAAACATACATATTGTTAAGTCTGTATTTGGCTACAGCCTCTGCCCTGATGTCACACACCGTCTGTCAATGCAGTTATGTTTTGCCCAATTGGAAAAAAGATTGACAAGCGAAAGTGGGCATTTTTTGTGTTTTTTGTGTTCTAATATTTCTTTTTCAGATGAGAGATAAACTACCCCTGCTTCAGGGATGACAGTAGTATGGATCATGAGGAAATGAGCCTCTACTTTGGCACCAAAGCCCACAATATGAATTGAGGACGATCCGGGAGAAAAGCAACTGGAGATGAACGGAACAGTAAATCTACACACACACACTAGGTCTCCCTGACCCAACCCGGCCAATTCACTCAGACTGTGGATGAGCGGTGTGGGTGCATGGTGTCGGTACTTTTGCAGCCTCACGGAGGGCCACTGAGACCCACTGCTTACTTCTCAGCAAAACTCGGTCCCGTGGCAGCAGGGTTGCCTCGCTGCCTGCGGGCTGTGGCTGCCGCTGAGAAAGCGGCCCTAGCATCACGTGACCTTGTGGGATACACTGAACTAACTTTGCTTGTGCCCCATGCTGTTTCCCTGATCCTGCTAGAGCAGAAAACCTCTCACCTTTCTGCGGCTCGTTGGCTGAAATACAACACGGTGCTCTTTGAACTCCCCAATGTCACGGTGAAAAGATGCACACAGCTGAACCCCTCCTCACTGCTGCCCACGCCAGAGGAAGGGGAGGAACACTGCTGTATCGCCACAATAGAACAGATATGCACTCCCAGGCCAGACCTGAAAGAGGTGCCTCTGACTAATCCTGACTTGATTTTTTATACAGAAGGATCCGCGTCACGTGACAACACTGGGAAGAACCGAGTCGGCTATGCTGTGTGTTCTGATTTTGATACTATAGACTCTGGTAGTTTGCCCCACCACCATTCAGCACAAACCGCTGAACTGATCGCGCTCACCAGGGCTTGTGAGCTGGCAGCGGGCAAAACTGTTAACATATTCTGTGATACGCGTTATGGTTTCTCTGTGGTGCACGACTGGGGGGCACTGTGGAAACACCGCAATTTTATGAAATCTGATGGTAAACCAATTCTTAATTCCACACAGGTTGAACATCTGCTGAAAGCTGTAATGTTGCCCTTAGAGATCGCTGTATGCAAATGCCAGGCCCACACTAATGCCACTGATCCCATCTCTGCAGGGAATCGGCGCGCGGACAAGGCAGCGGCATACTCACCTCTACCCACACACACACACTACCTCACTCAAGACGTTGATATTTTCTCATCTCTGTCAACAATGCAGGCACAGCAGAGACGATGCTGTGGGAGGGGAATGGGGCTCAACGACGGCATGGTGTGTGTGGCTGGGACCAGACAGCAAACCGTGCCTACCACGGCATTTCTTCAGACATTTTGCAATTTTAGCACATGGTCGAGACCATGCCTCAAAAGGAGGGATGTGTAATTTAATCACACAAAATTGGTATACGAAGGGGTTTACGGCATTTGCACAGAGATTCTGCCAAACATGCGCTATCTGCCTCGCGCACAACCCAGGTAAGTCCCAAATTATCCAACAGGCTGCCCATCCTCCGCCCCTGCGCCCATTTCAACATGTCCAAAGGGACTTTGTTGAACTCACACCATGCCAAGGTAAGAAATACTGTCTGGTTCTGGCGGATCTCTGGTCCAAATGGACTGAAGTATTTGCATGCAAACACGCCACGAGCAACGCGGTGGTGAAAGCTCTGCTCACAGAAATTGTGCCACGATGGGGTGTCCCGAGAAAAAATCTCTAGTGACAATGGCAGTCACTCTGTAGCAAAAGTCATTGAGGAAGTAGGTGAATTTCTGGGCATTGATATACGTAAACACTGCAGTTACGCCCCCTGGAGCGGAGGCGCGTGCGAGCGAGAGAATGGCACTCTGAAAAACAAACTTGTTAAAATCTGCGAACAGACAGACCTGTCTTGGATCAAAGCTCTGCCGCTAGCCCTCATGTACATGCGCATGAGAGTCAGGTCAAGGTCAAACCTAAGCCCATTCGAAATCCTCTTTGCCAGACCGCCCAACTTGGGCGCGGGACCCCCGAACAGAGATCTGCCAAGCACCCCTTTGTGTGATGACGACATGCTGTCCTATTGTAAGGAAATGAATGCACTTTTGCCCTCTATTTCTGCCCAGGTCAGGAGCGCCCTGCCACAGGCTGCGCAGGCGGCTCCGCACAAGATCAAGCCAGGCGACTGGGTCCTGGTGAAGGAAACGAGACGACAACATTGGCGGTCCAAGCGCTGGCTGGGCCCATTCCTCGTCCTCCTGGTGACGGACACTGCCGTTACCACTGTCGTGCGGTGCTGCCACTGAGGGCCATAGACGAGGACACCGAGGGTGGGGACGGACCAGGCCCATCCGCGGCTCCCTACGCTGAAGAGGTCGGTCGGCGTGCGACCACCGTCGGCGAAGCAGGCCAACAGCAACACCCAGAGAATCCCAGCGTTCCCGAGGCGACCCCCTTTGCCCAACTCCCCTGCCTCCGAATCCCGAGACGACCCCCTGTGGGGCACTAATGTACCCGATGACCACAAATTATGGACCACAGGCCAGAAAATAATGTTAGCATTATTCCCCAGCCTGGGTGTAGGTAAACTAATGCTAAGGACGGAGACCCTGAGCTATAGGTTCTCAGGTTTTGTCAATACCACAGTGGCCATACTTGAATCACAGAGAGTTGAACTTCACGACCTACGTGCTGTTGTTCTTCAGGACCGGCTGGTCCTGGACCACCTGACCGCGTCTGTGGGAGGCGTATGCACGATCATTGGGTCGTCCTGCTGTACATATATTCCGGCTAATGATGAGGACGGAGGTCTTATCCAACAGGGCATAGCCAATCTGACTAGACTCCGGGACGCCATGCAAGCGGACAATGTCACGGACACTCCTCACGGTCTGGACTGGCTCCTGTCCTCCTGGCGGAGTGTGCTCATTAATCTTGGTTTAGCCCTATTGACTGTTATGATTTTATTTTCATGTGTATTACCCATGGTGTTTCGGGCCGTTGGTAAAATGGTATCCACTCACTTTGTGTCCATTCAATACAAAGACCCCGAGGCGGACCTGGCCGCTGTCCCACTGAACTCCGATCCTGATTATATCAGCGATTCGGACGATGACTTTGTCTAACGTTTTTCTTTCTTGTTTACCTTGTTTTTATTTTTCCACTTGTTTTGCTCAGGGACCAAGGTCAATACTCACCCACCTGAATGTGATCTCTGTAAAACTGGGGTTTCTACATTATCACGGGAGAGGAGTGTGATGGCAAGCGGCCTAGACTCGGGGACGCCAACTCACCCCCCCTGCTGCTCTATCCAGCTAACCTGCAGGAAGGAGCCGGGCTTCCCCCCGCACCTACAGACAATGACTGTCTCACCCTTGTCCCTTTTGCATCTTGCATCTGTATGTCTGCATCTCTACATCCTGCATGTCCATTGTCTCTCTGTTTGCATCTCTATGGCACGGTCTGATTGCCTCCCCCCGGACTAGGCGCCTCGCCTCTGGATGCGCCTCCTGTACTGGTGACCCCCTCCCATCTTTTGTGGGCGTGACTGTCTTTCATGTGTTGTCTATGTAAACAGGAACCTGGTCTGGCCGCGTCAGAGCTTATGGACGCTGCTTTGTGTATGTGAGCTCTCCGCACGTGTGTACAATAAACTTACGCTCCTGATTAAGACAAATACTTTTGAGCTTTCTCCTTCATTGGGGTATGTAATTCTACGACACTACTGTATTAGTTTATCAGTACTGTGTATGGAGTGAATGAATGACATGTGAAGTGTCTTTGAGGGTCCCGAAAAGCGCTATGTAAAACCGATGCATTATTGATATTATTATTATTATTTATGGATTTTTATTATATATATAGATATATATATTTGTTATTATTATAGCATGTCCTGTGTTCCTCCTGTTTGATTCTGTGATCTGTTGTTGGTGAATCAACAACTTTGTTAAGTCCTTCGAGACGACTGCTAAATTGACCTAGTCACACCAGACTTATACCAGGGCTTTTACAGATCACTGTATAAAAGTAGAAACTGGAGCAATCTTTGGAAGCTAAATCATAAAGTAAGCAAAAACATACATACAGATACTGTACAGAGCAGAACCAGAGAAGGATGTTTTTGCCCAAAACCATCAAATGACATCAATATATTTGTGTAAAGCTCAGAATCACAGCAGCAGATTTGCCAACAGTAGAAAACATAGGACTATAAAACATCATTGGTCCATATATAACAGCTGATCTAATGTCCACAAATGTCCTGGGTCATTGTCCTTAAACCCTCATCCCTCGGCAAGGAACACTCAATCTATATGCACTTTGCACATATCCAAATACAGCACTTGACAGACTTTTTTTATCATTCGAAAATATGATTAGTGTTATTAGCAAGTGTATGTTTTTTATGGTTGGCGAGCTTTATGGGTGAAATAATGTGTTTTGAGCTATAGGGTTGCTTCTAGATAGATAGATAGATAGATAGATAGATAGAGAGAGAGATAGTGTTGAAGCAGCATAGATGGATGGAGATGGCCTTACCTGAATGTCTTGCCCTTCAGATTCCGCAGTAGGTCCAGCTGGTTCAGAGGTGGGATTATCCTGTGCAAGGAGAAGAACCACGTCACTGTTCAAAGGTTAAATCTCACTAGCACTGATTCACAATTAACTCTGGCACTTGTCTGCTAACCATTGCCCTTTCAGCAAAGCGGGGAGAAGTGATTTGCTACTTTGAAACGCATAAAGAAGACAAACGTCGAGTAAGTCAAGGAAGCAGAGTAAGGCTATGCTGAAGAGTTATAGATCCGTAGCCTGTTGTTAATTTGGTAAAGTAACTATTGGCACAGCGTTCCACCGAACTTCCTTGAGTAGTTTTGGTGCTATTCCCATTAATCCTGACAATCCGAGCACTTACAGAAAGCTTATGGTAGGTTTTTCTATATAGAATTTAATGGAAAGTGCATTTGCATTTGGGTTCAGTTTTCCCCAGTTTAGAGACTATGACAGAAAATGATATGACATGTATTGATTGTGCTGAGCAATATTTCAAAGTCTCACCTGTACATAGGGACGGCTACAGTTTCCTCGTAAAAATCCCACGTGCACAGCAGATCCGTGCGGGAAAGATTGGTGGCGTGAAATCTCCAAGCAGCCTGCAGGAAGAGCAGCAATGGAGTAGACAAAACATCTGCACAATTTTACAATATTTACACTACCAGTTTGTTCAAACACTGTATATTGTGCTTTATACCATGATCAGTGAGGATTCCAATGCAAAAGTACAACTTCAATATCACTCCGATTGAGCCGTCACCATAGCAACACCCAGCATTGAGCACATGCAATAACTTATAGCTTTATACGTCTGCAGATAAATCAGTAGTACTCTAAAAGAATATTAGGGTGATAAATCATTAGCTCTGAAGTTTCAAATGTTCACGGGGATGAAACTACTCTGCATGGTTTGATGCATGTAGGTATCGGCTGAAGTGAAAGTGACAATGGATACACGTTGTCCCCTTTTGCACATTTTAACATTAATTATTTTAAAGTTATTATACGGCTCTTCACAGTCGAAGTAGAACGCTCCATTGAGTTGAATGTAATTTAAAAACGATCTACCGTTATTTCTTCATAACTGACCTCTCAAAACATTACTGACCGCTGCTCATGGCAACGCAATTTGGGCTTGTAGTTCACGTGTGTCAGATCACTAGTCCGGCCATTTTGTTCGTGTCAGGCTCCGGTTTTCCCTGTTGTTACTTATTATCCGAAAATAACCTGCGTTCTGTACATTAACCCTTATGATTAGCACAGATGTATGATTCATGACATGTGAGGTCAGGACAGCTGTGTTCATTCATTTATTGTTAATGGCTAAAGAGAAGTCCCTTTTCTCAAACATGTTATTTTAGAGTGTGGTTGACAAAATATACATGTTTTCTAAAATGAGTGTGTGAGTGTGTGACCATGGTACAAGCTGATTAATCAATACTCATAGGAAGTAAACCAATGTTAGTCATGTACATAATTTCAGTTTGCCTTTTTCATTGTTGAGTGAGGAGCAGAGGTCTGATTGTGATGATTTTGTATTGTGTTGTGTGATTAATCCTTACATGAATGACGATAAAATACAATACAACATGAGGGGGTTTACATAGAAAAACTGGAGAGTGAAAAATGCTCTTTGGACCCAATTATAGACTTAGCATTATAGAAGTCTTTTATTTCCTTCTGTAACTTCTCTTGATTGACATATGTACGGTAAATGACTTTAGGCAGATATCTAATCTCTGCTCTCAGCTCTGCTCTTCTTCTTATTGTGCCAGTGCATTTTCGTTGTATCATGACCAGCGGCATAAATATGGATCTTTTGGTGAAATAGTGGCATCATAATTTCAAGATGTTGTCACCTGAATGAGGCAGGCTGCTGGGTTTCGTCTCTTCTCAAAATGCTTCTGTCTGTGCTGCTCTTGGACTTTCAGAGCAAAGCCTGAACCCAAGATGCCCTGTAAGCACAACATGTGTTATAATGTGGAGTTAGAATAAGCAGTTTTCTAGTGAGTTTAAAACTAAAGACACGAAAAATGCTGATATTTCCGATATTTTCAAAGTCAATTTGTGTGTTTGCTGATCCAGTTGTATGTGCGAGATAATGCTGATGTCTGATGGAAGCGTTCTCAAATTTCTGGTGCTGTGTTTTACATCCAAGACGTGACAGAAGCATCAGCCAATACAGAAACATGCCTCACAGGGAAAGAGCACAGTGTGTGAGAACATGAAGGACAGGCACAAACAAGAGTGGACTGTGTGCCACTCATTACAGACAGCACTCTCTGTCAGACGCTGTCTCACCAAGCTTCAAAGACAAATCAACGTAATAGAGATAAAACATGTCTGGAGAGTCATTGAAGCTGATGATAATTTTTGTCTGGTAAATGATTCAATGATTAACTGCTGACAATGTAAAGAAACCTGAGATGCTGCCTGTCAAATTACTAGTAAAGATAATCCACTGTACGGACTGACCGAGTGTGACATCACCATAGTGTTAGCATTAATCAAAGACTGTAAATATGAACGGACGTAGTCACACATATCTCCGTCATTGAAATTAATGTGTTACCACTTTTGCCTTCTGTGGGGCTTTTTCAAAATAGCCGCGGGGCAGAAAAATGTGAAAAAACACTTTTGTGTTAGCTGGCACGAGCCCCATTCATTTAATTAGTGCATAAAAAAGTCCACAGCGGCTAAACTAGACTGGTCCAAAAAAATGACTCCCCTCAGCATCTGAAACGTACTGTTGGGCCAAGAGAAACTCGTTTTTGAGAGGAAAAAAGGCGGCATTGGGTAATTCTCTTTCCAGGTACACCCCCACCGGCTAGGAATGAGATTGCAAGTATGTCAGCGCACATGCTCATGGACCTTTTGGAGACGGGACCCGCCCCCACTGGCCTTATTGTGAAAGACGCTGATTTGAACATAAGCTAGCTGGAGCCAAATTCCTTACATGGGCATTTTCTTTGCTCGGTAAACCGGGCGAATGTGTTCAAAGATGGTCCAAAATTGAAATAAACAAATATATAATAATGGTAAATCACATGTAAATTGTATAATTCTGAAAGATAAACTCGCACCTGGAGAGTAGACTTACTGCAGGGAGAGCGAAGAAGGCCACTCCTATCATGCTGAAAGCTGCTCCCAGTAGACGCCCATTCCATGTTTTTGGGACTTTATCTCCATAACCTATAGTGGTCAGAGTGATCTGCAGAAAGGACAGGCAGTTTTCATCAACACTCCAGTGATAACCACTCAACCGCTCTACTTTTAACACTTGAGTAATGTGCACTCCTTCACAAAATCACTTCAGTGGTGGGTTCTTTGCATAGTTGCATACATTTATATATTCTATGTTTGGGACTGGTGTTGGATCATTCTTTCTCCTACACTAAAGGTGAGACTCTGAAAACTTGAATATCATCCAAAAGTCCATTTACTTCTGTGATTTAACTTACAACATGAAACTCATATAGACTCCGTAAATGCAAAGTGGGATATATAAAGCCTTCGTTTGCTCTTATGTTGATAATGTGAGACAGGATTCTACTTCTAAAGAACTAAAACAGTTCTGTTCTGATGGTATACACAGGAAGGATTGCATTGTTTTAATGTATGGTGATTATTTATGATTTTAATGCATTGTTTCATTTTAATGTGTCTTTTTTTATGTCTTGGGCAGCACTTTGAGTTGCCTTGTGTATGAACTGTGCTATTCAAAACCACTTCGAATCTGCTCTCAGCTTGTTAGAACCCCATATAAAACATGAGTCTATAACATATGTATAATTCTACAACAGTTATGGATATTTATCAACATTTATGGACATTGGTCATCTCCCCCTATGAACCTATACCTATGTTTTCTGTATTCTTAGTGTGTGAAACTGTTTGATTCTCTAATCTCTATTGGAAATATCAAAGGTTTTGTTATGTCCTCTGAGATAACTACTGTTGTGATTTAGGGCAATACAAGAATGCATTGATTTGAATATGTCGATTTCACAGTTTAACACAAATTACTTAAATAAATTCACTTTTGGACCATATTCTAACTTTTCGAGCTTCACCTGTAAGTATAGTTCTGCCTTCAGCCTCTGTTTAGTCCCCATTTCCTTGTGGTGTGCAGGTAACTATGGGGTGTAATCTCTTCAGTATTTTATTTATTCAATAATTGAACATCACCGTAGTGGCGTCTTACCAGTCCCCACCACAGAGCATCTGCATAGGTCTCAAACTCTGCATTGGACTCCTTCTCCACTGAGTAAACCAGGAAAGAAGCCAGGATGAGGCAGAGGAAGCCGATGTACCAGGCGGTGATCAGCTCCTATTGAGACGCAAAGACAATACACAATTATAAAGACAATAGGCAAGTCATCTCTACAGCGTTATCATTCGAGTCGGTAATGTCAATCGTTATGTCCTTGTAGGTTCAAAATGAGGATATGATGATATTGTTGATTTCCCTGGGCTCCACACATGATCCGCTCCCAACACTCTCCGCCTCTCAACAGCAAACCCGGCAGGAACACTTGCTGCTTGTTATTGAGGAGTGAAATCTATTTTAAAAGTCATTAGAACAAAATGGGGGATTTCTTTCCCATTTAATTTCTCGCCCGTTTAGTGGTCTGTATGCACAAACAAGGAGGATTTTAATGAAGATGGGTTCAGGCATTTACGCAGAATGGTTGAATCCTCACTGCAAAAATGTAGGAGCAATTCATCTCGATTATTGTATATTTTTGGGCCAGTGGGACAAACAAAAGCATCTTGTATTTTAGGGCTATATTTGTATTTCTGTAGTCTTTAAGCTTTTGTATTAATTTATCAAAAAAAACGTAAATATGTGTGAAATATTCAGCCTTCACTTGTGGTTCAATCTAAACATAACTGTACTTGTTTAGTTCAGAAAGAAAATATCAGAAATTAATATCCAAAACAACAGTCAATAAATGCATAGCTATAAGCAAACCTACTACTTCAATCCATTTCTGCGTCAGCGGTAGCAGTCAGAGCTGCCCCGCTACACACTGCATAGGCTTGATCTTTCAGCAGGGGCTTCTGAAAAAGTGGGTTAAGAGTCTTGCCCACGGACACAACAACAGCAGACATCAGTGGGACTCGGTGGAGAAGGCCTCATGGTGGGCTCGAACCCACAACCTTCAGGCTCAAAGGCCAATGCTCTACCAACTGAACTTTGTTGCTACTCTACAAAATATGCTTGAGTCAGATTAGATTTCCTAATTGATAAAGCAGAATTAATGACAACATTGAAAAAATACCTGTCTTTTTCATATTCTATAAAGCCTGAAATATGTTACGCTTAATTATTTGGCAAACCTTGCATTGATACATCCAGAATGTGCTTAAATCAAGATTAAAAGCGCTTCATTTGCAGTGTCATAAATCAAAGCCGCCCTCCCCGCTCACCTTACTGTGCGCATAGACCACAGAGCCCAGCAGTTTCCAGGTGCCTCCTCTCCGGTCCATCCGCAGCATTCGGAGGATCTGTAAAAACCGCAGACTCCTGATGGCAGAGGTGGCAAACACGTTCCCCTGAGAGCCAGCGGCCAGCACCGACACTGAGGCGATCAGGACCATGATGTCTGGAAACCAACACGGAGTTACAATAAAGAAGTGTATGGTCATGTTATTATTACTTCATACTTTTATACTACCATATCATATTTTTCAGATTTAATTTTTTTAATTTTATTGTTTTGAGTTGTTTTTATAATCCTCCAACTTTAATTTCCCAACTGTGGGGTGAATAAAGCTTCTTGTATCTTATGCCATTCTTTTGTTCTATACTTGTGGCTGATTCAGAGATTATATATACTTTTAATCTGTGTATGTTTACAGTCATTTATCAATTATATCTCAAATTAGGTAAGCATGTAAGAATAACATCACTAACAACACTGGCCTTACCCAATAGGGCAGACTAAGCAATCATTAAAGTGCCTAAATTATTAAAAAACACTAGCTTTTCTCTTTATGCAACTGACGAACATGAGAATTAACCAAGAAATACGGCAGAATATCTAATCTAACAGCATCATTCTTCTGAGTTATTAGCGATTATATCATTCTTCTCTCACCATAGACTTTCTTTGTGACGTTATTAGATCCAAGAACAGCGGATTCTTATTCCAGAACAATGTATTTAATCAATCTTTACGAGGGGAAAGGGTCCTTGAGATTATATTTTGCCGAGGGCCACCAAGAGGTTTGGGCCAGCCCTGATGAGCTCATATCCTGGCCGCTCATAACATAGATTTAAATGGATTATAGCTGTCCAGTGTAAATGAACAAGGAATTAATCTGACTAAAAGGACAATTTGGGTATACATGAATGAATTGTGTAAACATGAATGAAGGCTGTGGTATTATCAAGACAAAGAACAACTTTCAACACAAGGTGAAGCAATGATATGGACACTTCTCTTCCCTCACCTATGACACAAAAAGGCTTTCTGGCAAACTTGAGGCGGCCCCTCCATCCCCTGTAGCGACAGCAGCAGCCAGCGGCCCATATCCGCACAATGTACTCCACCCCAAACACCACGATGGTCACGATTTCCTGTCAACACATAATATACCTAATAGTTCCAGCAAAATAGACTTGTACAAGGCATTTTTAATAGTATTTTTCTTCCACAATATATCATTTGTTTTGTAAACTTAATATTCGAAATAGGTTTCTTTTTTCAATCAATATGTTATTATTGATTGAAGAAAGTGTTTACAAGTCGGTAAACAGGACGACCCAATTCTGCCTGAATGGGGGTGAGGAGAAGAACACATAATAAATCCCGCCTCATTCAGAGCTTCACTGCTACTTCATTTGAGGATTATTATTTAATGTTATAACATGGTTGGTACAGATAACAGTTACATCTAACAACAACATTTACCAATAACAATAGCAATGATGATAATTGACAGTATACAGTTTCAGTGCGATAGGAGTGAAGGGGAAACAAGCCTTTTGTAGCTGTCGGGCTGTATTGACCAACGCTGAATTAAATTGATGAAAATTAAACCTATTCGCCATAGTGTATTTCTTTTAGTATGTTTTTCTAGACACCTCCTAGAAATTGGGTCCAAAAACAGGAAGTTGGCCTGGACATTAACTAACGTATGTACATATACAAAGTGATGCATAAAAACCTACCAAGATGTACAAGGCACTCTCTGAATTGTCTTTGAACTCCCGGATTGTGGCGAACACAGACAGGATGAGACAGGAGAAGACCAGGAGGAATCTGCAACATACAATAAGAGATAAGATGATGTATGTGGCGTGCAGTGGACTCGTAATGCATCTGATATTCCGGCTCAAGTTTCTCCGGCAAAAGCATCTCCAGCAATTATGTGTGTGTTGATTCAAAGGTCCACTGCTCTTCCAAATTGCACGCACGCAATAAAAATACAGCTCCATTTGTTTTAATGCAATGTGCAGACATGAGTGCATATTCACAGGAAATCAGACATCTGTTGACAGAGCAGACAAAGGAGCTGCATTTGAATTCATAAAGCTGGCAGATCTTTTCACATTCTGCTTTTCACTGGTACCCGGAACACGACCTCCGCAAATCTGGTTGAATATCACTTTCATTAGTTGTTTTCATTGAAGCATTTATGGCATTCAACATCATCTCTGCAAGTTGTAAGGAAGTAAATGCCTTGTTTTGTGTAATCAGATGGAAAACAAAGCACTTAGTTGTACAGATTATTTGACTAATTATTGACGACTTGGATACTACAGGATTATGAAGACAAATGAGCTTCAATGTAGAGAAAAAAACAGTAGATAATGCACATGTTTATTGTTTGTATACCAACTCCATTAGACTGAGAGCCTATTGATGCAGGGTTATTAGCTGGTATAATGTTACCAGAGCTCATCACACAGGCGTCTTCAGAGAAAACTATTACTTCGCTTCACAGCAACAAGGTTAAGGAGCGAGATGCTTTCATTCTGTCCTTAGTATTCTAAAGAACTGCAGAAATGAGCAAATTATTATGTTACAGTTAAGGCTCCCCCACATGATGCCACTGCAACCTGTCAGGAGCAACCTAGTATTTATTATTTATTATTTAGAACACAAAATATGCTACACACACACACACACAATCTATTCAAGCAAAATAACAAAACATGCAGCCACTCCCCTATAATGGGTGTGCAGTGGCAAGTGCACTAGGTGTGTGCTGCTGGTAATAGACATAAATTCAAGGTTCAAATAAAAAAGGTTCTGGATAAATCAAATGTAAAGTCCGAATGACTGCCCGGGAGCATGAGCCACACCCTACATTGTACGCACAGAAGGGTAGAGGGGCTGAACTCTGAGGGACTGAGCTTTAAAACATAACGATTATGTCCAAAGCAGAAGTGAAACATTACGGGGCGGCACGGTGGCTGAGTGGATAGCACTCTCGCCTCTCAGCAAGAAGGTCCTTGGTTCGAATCCCGGCCGGACAAGGGCCTTTCTGAGTGGAGTTTGCATGTTCTCCCCGTGTCTGCGTAGGTTTCCTCCGGGTACTCCAGTTTCCCCTACCAAATTAGGTAGGTCTGGCATGCGCCTCCTGTTCGGCGACCCCGCTCCCATCTCTGTGAGGAGTGAGAGGACAAGTGCCCAATAAATAACCATTGTAAACCGCTTTGTGACTCTGGTCTGTGAAAGGCGGTATATAAATAAAGATTACTTACTTACTTACTACTTACTTACTTACTTACACTGTGGTTATACAGGATTTGAAGAGAACACATTCACATAAATCACAGTAAAGATAGCTGAGTAACAGCCAGGCAGACTTGGCAGTGTCAGATGGTAAAGCTAACACAATGCTGCAGTAATGCTCTCTGCAATCACAGGGCTGAAAAAGAAACACTTCAAATATTGGGTTAAGACATTTCTGAATATGATAGGAAACTGATTTTATTAACTTGAGTATTCACCTAGGGACTGGTGCTATGAGACTTGGAAGGCAGCTATGATTGACACCCCCCCAACCCACAAACAGACTAATAAAGGGGAAGACAATGACATGACATGACATGACATGAGTATTCACCTGTTGAAAAATGCTAAAAAGTGAAAACAACTAATAGACTCATCTAAAGCACATGTGTCAAAGTCAAGGCCCGCGAGCCAGATCCAGCCCGTGAATGAATTATCTATGGCCCCTGGGATGCCTGCCCTTGACGCATTAATACGTCAATAGCGTTTTTCACTATTTTCATGTTCTCAGATGTCTTTTATATCTAATATGTATGGGGATAAGCTTTAGAGCATATTTTATCGAGCCAGCAGGTGGCACCAGCGCTACCTCTAAACCATAGACTGTATATAATAACGGACAGAGTCACGCCTATCTCCGCCGTTCATAGGAGTTGGCCATGAAAAGTGCTTTCATGGAGCAATCCAAGATGGCCGTGAGTGGTCCCGCCCACAAGAAAATTGTGGAAAAACGCATCTGCGCATGCGTCAGCCGACGCAGCTCCATTCATTTGAACGAGAGACTTCAAAAATTCACCGCGAGTAAACTAGAGTGGACCAAAAAAATCCACCCCCCTCAGCATTGACACACATGTGGAACGGAGCTTTGGGCCAAGAGCCAACTTTTGGTCCATCCTGTAAAGACATTTTTGAGAGGTCTGCCAATGCTATATGTTAGCATTGGCTAATTCTTAGTCTGGGTCCACCCCCATCGCACGTCATTTTGGCCACTTTTGAGCTGGGACCCGCCCCCACTGCTCTAAACATTGAACCAGTCCGGCTTGAAGCAACAAAAAATGTTTGCGCCCTCTGATGTATTTGACTTTGACATGCCTGATCTAGAGCAATAGGAACAACTTTGATGGATTTAATTAGAAAGATACACTTTGTTAGAAAGTTTGTGTTACGACCCAAAGGACAAAACATTTGAGAACAGGTTGAGAGTTCAAAATGCATTTTTATTTACTACTATTTCTACAGAACACAAAAACTTAAAAGTACTCAAATTAAAGTGGGACCAGGTGGGCCAACCAAAACAAACAAAATGGGCCGACACCAAACCAACCCTACACAGGGCCGTCCAGATCTGATCCTGGCTCCCAAACTAATTTATAAACAAAAACCCTCGCGAACAGAAATGTAACCACCGGAACCATCAGATCGACCAAACATAAAGCCAGGAAAAAGGCAAACAAAGCTCTAAAGGAACCAAACCATGCGGCATCTGAGGACCAGGGCGCTCACTTCAGAAGGTGTAACGAAAGAGGCTGAGAGCAGAGAGTGCACCAGGACAGCGCCACTTACTGTATACACCAGTCCCAAACTGAAAAATATATAATACAGGTTACGAAAAAATGTAACGTATAAAAAACAGTCTGACAAAATATTATAAAACCCAAAAATACCTGACCCAAAACGTTTAGCTACACTTGAGCTTTAGACACTTGAGTATTTGCAGTCAATACTTTTCCATATATTTTTTTTTGTATTTGAGTTGTGATTTTTGAATATTTATAACATATACAGACTGATGAATGTGAACATTATGTACATTAATTCATTCTTGATGTGTTGCACCATGTCCCTGCGTCTTCAGAATGCATGTTTTCCAGAGCAGTTTCTCGTGCAGGCGGGACATTGGCAGCCTCATAAAGGTACTAATGAGCCACCCACTGACGAGAGGACACTGACAGCACCTCGGCTCTGCTCCTGCAAACTCTCAACGGCAACACAGATGTGCCATTCTGGGGCTGTTTCGTTGGCATGTTGGTGAGACTTGATGAGATATTTATTAGAGTGCCGTGGAAATAGTCCAATATCAGCTGCTTGGTCAAAATCATGAAAAAAAAAAGATGAGATAAGATTGACTTTATTGATCTCACACAGGAGAAATGTACATGTCACATCTGGCATGGATAGAAACAGAGAAGTGTGCAAACATGTTAAATGCAGGATATATTATCTACAATAAAAAGTGGCAATTAAAGAAACAGTGTCAATAGTAGTGCAGGTTTTTTAGTCCTAAAGCAAGTGACTTATTGTACAGTCTGACAGCGGTGGGGATAAAGGCCCTGCGGTAGCGCACCTTCTTGCACTGAGGGTGTCTCAGACTCCACTGAAGGAGCTCCTCAACTCCTCTACAGTCCTGTGCAGTGGGAGGCATGATGGAGGCGACTTTGACTAGCACCCTCCTGTCCCTGTCCCTCACCTCCTCCACAGAGACCAGGGAGCAGCCCAGAGTGGAGCTGGCCCTCCTGACCAGCTTGTTCACTCTACTCCTGTCCCGCTCTGTGCTGCCCGGGGCACAGCACACGGCAGAGGCTACCACAGAGTCATAAAAAGTCCTGAGCAGAGGCCTGCTCACTCCGAAGGACCTCAGCCTCCTCAGAAGGAAGAGGCGACTTTGGCCCTTCTTGTACAGGGCGTTGGTGTTATGGGACCAGTCCTGTTTATTGTAAATGTGAACACCCAGGTGTGCTTGTTTTTTTCCTATATAATACACATTGATGAGATTGACGTTAATAATGGCTGGAGAGTTAAAATGTTATAACAAATTCAGTTGGTGGTGTGTCTTATAACTTTTTGCGATGTCACGGTTCAAAAAGGTTGGGGAAGTCAACAGGATGCAGCCCTAGAATCCACTAACTGTTTTATTACAATGACATGTACGTGAAGGGGAAACTGCCAAAAATTAAAAGGTATCAATAAGATTATATAATATTAAAAACTTTAAAAATAAAAATAAAAAAACGGTTTACTTGGTGGTGGAGGTGTTGAAAGTTATGGGCCATCCAACTGTTCAAATCAACCATCTTCCCCAGAGGCCAGACTTCTGACCTTGTTTTGTCTCAGTGGGAAATCTATCTGTGTGCCGTCCACATAGCAGTGGAAGGACACGTTAGGACAATAGACTGTAAGTAAGTAAGTAAGTAATGTTTATTTATATAGCGCATTTTACAAACCAAGGTCACCCAAAGCGCTTTACAATGTTCAGACTGTAACATATTAACAAACGTAGTCGTGACTTGTGCAATCAAAATTCTAGGCTGGTCCAAAAAAATATACTATCTTCAGCATTGACAGCATCTGGAAGTGGAAAGAATCTTCCAGAATTCTCTTTCTGGGTACACCCCCACCGGCTTGCAGCGAGATTGCATGTCAGCGCACGTGCTCATAGACCTTTTGGAACCGTGACCCACCCCCCACTGGATAGGCTAAGATTGGTTTAAATATCATGCATCTGTCTTAAATAAAACTAGAAC